GGGCGTGGCCGGGCGGTAGAGCGGCGCCCTTGGCGGCACCGGGGATGGAGGCGGCAGCTGCTTGTGCTGCTGCCGCTTGCTCTGCGTCGCGGCGCTGGACTTCGGCGATCATGGCGTCGGCCATTTGGTCTGTGATTTCTTCCATCTGGACCATTGTTGCGGGTGAGGATGCGTCCCCGCTTTTTTTTTCCGCGGTGTGATTGTTGCTGGGTGTTTTCTGTTTCTGAGTTTGCCTGGCACTGGTCAAGTCGCAAACTGTCTGAGAGGCTGTGTAAAAAACGGTTCGTCTCAGCTGAATGAGTTGCAGGTTGTGGTGTGAATCTGATGAGTCTCATATGAGATTTGTCGCTTGTTGTTTGTGAGCCTGTGATTGAGCGAAAAATTCGGAGGTGAGTTGAAGTTTGTGTGTGTGGTCGGCTTTGCGGTGGCGATTTTCATTGGGCAGATCTTTCAAATTCTGGAGTTCATGGAGGAGCTGCGAACCTCGTAGAATTCTGACTCTTCAACCTCACTTGAGCGCAGAAGAAGTTACTCTGAACAATTCATCGCAGCTGATGATTGATTCGGGTGATTAAATAACATATTCCGTTGATTTGGAGTTATGAAAATCACCTAGCCAATTCACACTCAAGTGGAAATGCCAAGTTCATCAGAATGACTTCAATTCTATTAGAGCGATTAACTAGTTATGGTAAATGACCAAGTAATAGCCGCTCCCAACGCCGAATAAATGCAACAAAACTCCATGCCCGCCAATGACCAAAAAAGCGTCTCTAGTCTATCCGACACTCATGGATGAGACCAACTCCAAAATTCGAGCCCCTATCCGTGACGCCGTACTGTTTCGACCGAAGAAAAGCAAACAAACTCCCCTTCTATAGCCCTTTCTCATGCTTTGGTTGGGTCGTGAAATCTTTTTTGAACTCCGTTTCGTGAAATCTCCCCGCTCAGACCATATTCGTCGCATTCATCTGACAACACATTCATTCCTCGTCCGAGAACACCTCCCTGATGCTGACTCGGGATTCCTTCTTCTGCAAGCAAGGCTGGGCGTCCTCCTCGCTCACATCCAACTTGCGCTCACGCTTCACGGAGAAGCACTGGATAGCACCAATTACAGCAACGACGGCACTGCCATACCATGCCAAAGCCGTGCAATCAACCTTGCTTCCGAAAGTGTACAGCCATCCGGCAACAGGCGGAGCGATCATGCGGAAGCCAGCGGCGGCGCTAGCGGCGAGACCGTTGACCTTGCCCAGGGCCTTGGGAGTGGGAGTGACCTCCTTGATCAAGATGAGGAGCAGAGGGTACAAGATGATGGAAAGGACGTTGCGGACAGCCAAGCAGAAGTAGATGCCGGCGTATACAAGCGACTCGGGAAGGAACAGCAGGCTCGGGACCATGACGTAGGCGATCGGGTGCAGGACGGTGACGATGATGAAAAGTCGGTAGACACCAAACTTCTCAGCGGCGAATGGGAAGATGACGGCCTGCACGAAGAGTGCAATGACACCGTTCACCGCCATGATCATGCCTACGGCGCGGAGCGAGAGACCCAAGCCGCCAGGGGTGTAGAAGGGGCTCGAAGCGTCGGTAAGAACGGTGATCGGGGAAGTGGCGCGGTCGTCTTCGAAGAAGATGGGCAAGAGATGGTCGTAGGTCATTGAGTGGTAGGTGAAGATGCACAGCGCCAGAATCAGCGACATGATGGGCTTGGTGTAGATGTTGTAGGACTGGTCGGCCTTCTTCGCGGGGGTCTGCGTGCTGCGACCGCGGACAGTTCCATAGTTGTCATCTCTCAGGTCAACGGCAGGTCTCTTCATGGCATCCGAGGTCTCCAGTAGGGGAGTCTCCTCGGAAGCGTATGTGTCGTCGGGCATGAAGACGCGAGGCTGCATGTCGGGGTGAGTCTCCTCGAGGAGGAAGTAACCCAGGATGATGCTGACGAGCAGGAGACCGGCGCAGACAAGGTTGGGCAGAAGGTACGGGTAGCGGTAGAACATGCCGTCGACGGGGAAGATGCTGGGAAAGGCGTCGTGGGGGTCGGCAAAGGTACCGCCAATAAAGGGACCGATGATTGTGCCAATAGACCACACGAAGGGCATAACCGAGAAAGCGCGGGCTACAAGATTAGCACAATGCGAGGCTTGGTGGTCAGGGGAGAGGACTCTTACGCTCATGCTCAGGCTTGGTGACCAATTCACCAACCATGGTCTGGATGACGCCGATGTTGCCGTTAAGAAGACCGCCGATAGCTCTGCCAGCCAGAGCAATCCAGATGTTGGAGGCGAAGCCGACCATGACCATGCTGAACATTGTGCCGACGCATCCCAGGAGAAGTACGGGTTTTCTTCCGATACGGTCAGAGAGACCGCCCCAGTACATGCCCATCAGGGCCTCCGCGAGGGAGAAGGAGGAGATGAGGAGGCCGGCGTAGAAGGATGCATCTTCAGCGTTGCCGATTTCGAATCTCTTGACGAGGGCCCAGGCGTAGGGGAAGATGGAGGTGAGTGCGATGGGTTCGGCGAGACGAACAATCGCTGAAAGTGCGGCGTTAGTATGCGTGGCTGGAGAGAAGAGGTGGTGTTGGGTGTGTATGTGGGTGTGTATGTGTAACGTTGGAACGCGGCAAGACAGGGAATGCCAGGTGAAGGAATGTGGTTGTGGCAGTAGGGAATGCAGTGGTGGATGGACGTACCAAGGAGGAAGAGCTGAATGGTGGGAAAGTCGTCTGGGTTGCGAGGGCTTTTCTGCATGGTTAGGGCCATTGTCTCTCGACTTGGTTCAAGTCTTACGATGCGACAGAACACTCGACGAAGAATCTACTGGAACGTAGGAAACTTGAAGAATGAAATGTCGGGATGCGTGTACGCTTATACACGTTTCCTCCTGTCCTGGCCGGCGGCGGTGACGTCTTGTAGGATGCGACTACACAAGAAGATGTTTCGTCCGTCTTCAGAAGAGATGTTATCGAGGGAGAGAGAAAAGGAATGTTGGCCAAGAGCGGAAGCAGGAGAGGAGGGGAGGTAAATATTGGTTCTTGGACGTGGATCCGTGTACGATAACGGCCTTCTCCCGAGTCTCGCAGGGTGGGAGGGTGGAAACAAGCGCTTGCAGCAACCCGGAGTGCCTGATGGAGCTAGAAGAAAAGAAGACTGGCGGATGCAAGCGGGAGAGGAAGCCGGCGGATGCAGTAGAGTTGCACGGTGGGATGCGAGAGAGTTGCGGGAGGTCACTGGTGGGAGGAATGCATATGACGGGCGGCGTGAGCGAGATGTTTTTTTTTTTCGTCCCGTCTCGCTTTCTTTCCTCGTCTGATACGACTTACACCGTCCCGTCCTTCAGCACACAGTGACACAGTGTGGCGGGGCTCTCTGCTCAAGTGGGATGGATGGAGTGCATCCTGAGTGATTCGGATTGCAAGGATCGCAAGACTTCAAGAGACAGCCAGGTGGAGAGAACAGGGGAATTGCGGTTTCCAGACCGACGGCATCCGAGGAAAGCAGCAAGTCTGGCCGCGCGACGACAGGGAAGGAGCCATGGAGGGGGGAGCTTCGACTGATGGACTGCGCCTGCACGGACTGAACGATGCACCTCACGCAGCTCATGCGCCAGGGTACCGCACCTCAGACTCTCAGTCAACTGCGTAGTACGGATAGGGTATGCAGATATGCGGAAGAAGAGCAGATTTCGGCCTGGGATAGTTGCATAAGTGGCGCTGCCGCTGCCGCTACCGCTAAGGACTACGGATACTCCATGCAGGTGACGGGGGAGGGATCTTGCGCTAGTTTAGCGTCCTTTTTTTGTTTTTTTTCTCTCTCTTTCTATGCTCCCGTCACTTTCTCGTTGCAAGTTCCCAAGTTATCATGTTCTCTCCACCACACAGCTCCAGAGAGTCCAGGATGCTGAGTGCACGGGCTCTAGAGGAATATCCGCTTACAAGTTGCACTACGATTCCTTGTCGATGCAGTAGCTCTTCCGTCGATTGTCGTGTCGTGTGAGAGACTCAGACGGGAGTGTGTCGTGTGTGGTGGGTTTTCTTGCTCGTTCTGACTTGACGGCGGCTGATCAAGGTGAAGTGCGATGCATCAAGGTGGAGGAGGAAAGAAGACCGGCTGTCGGTCTTCGGTTCGTCGGATGGAAGGAGCGCGAACTAGACACTTGCGACGGCTTCCTTCCCATTTCCTTTTTGTCTCCGACCCAACTGACCACCATCAGCAGCAGCATCACCACCACATCACACGCACGCTTACTCCAAGGATCTTCCAAACCTACTGCCGCCTGCAACTAAGAAAGCAATCTGCGCCTACCTTATTGACACTCCGCATGCTATTGCCGGCCGCCAGTCATTGACATTGCACCCCTCCCTCCATCGGAACATTGGATGATGAGTTGTTAGTTCTCGAAACCACGACAGCCTCACTCAAAGAGGAAATTCATCTTCACCGAAAAACAAGCCGGTTCGTCCTCCAACAACCAGCCCCAACGCACACCTCGCCTCCTCTCTCCTCTCTTCATGTCAGTCCGCGGCGGTCATCATCATGAGCAGTCAAAAGATTTCGGTCAACGTCACCGAAACCCGTCACCAGCGGATGACTACCGATTGTCCCACGCGAGTGCCGGGACTGGTTTCCGGTCCCCCTGGCTGAATGTAACGACTTCACCGCAAGGATTGCAACAAGCGCACAAGATACTGCATGACACGACCAGCATCGACCGACAAAAGCCTTGAGAGCTCCACGGATCATCAGTTTTGGGCCGGTCCAGAGTGTCTATTGAAGCACCAAGGGCGGCTTCGTCTGCACAGCGAAATTACATACCCGGCCGATGCCTGCCCGTTGTCGCCCACTTTCTCACGACTTTCCATGCTCCTTGCTCCTTGCTCCAATTCATGGCCCAATTCTGCCATGGGTGCTGGTGCTATTGGCTGGCGGCTCCGACGCACTTGGGACGGCTGATTGGGACAAGTTTCTCTGCACTGTGTAAAGCCCCAGCTATTCTCATCGTCTAGCGTGCGCCGCATCCTTGTATGCGAGTTCGTTAGTCATTGGACCTCTTCATTGGACCAAAGGCTCGTCGCACCAGCACTTCCCGGCTCCCGTTGACTCTCAAAGTTCCCACCTTTGGCCGTCTTTCGCAGTCTTCTTCCTCCTCCTCCTTCTTCTCCGCCACCATGGACTGCATCGTCCACATTTCCTGGGCAGCAACCTCGACAACCACTTTTGGAGTGTGTTATGCGCTACTGCGACTCAGCATGTGCGCACTTCAGACGACACCGGACCATTGTTGCGAACCCACATGGAGCGTCCACGAAGACCACGTCGCCTGACAACCACCAATTCCATTTTTGTCATTTTTTACGAGTCTAAACCGCTATGCCACCCAACACATACTTCTCGCCTGCTGCCTTACTTTATGGCTGGGGACGAGCAGAGCCACCCCTTCAGACTATACCAATTTCCCATTCCAAGGACTGTACTCTGAGTAGCCCTCCTACAGTCTTTTTCTGACAAGATGCGGTGTGCGAGGGCCATAGCTATGACGATGTTGTGGAACCTTTCAAGGTTCAGGTTGCCCGAGGCCAAGGGCTCACAAGTGAAGCGATCGGTTCAAAACGTAGCAGATCTTGAACAGAAGCCATCCCCAGTCAAGCCTGGCCCCAGCTTCAAAACAATCGTACACTACGGATACATACTCCGTACGGATAGAGCGAATAGCAACACAGAAAGTGGATGGGCGGCAGTCAAACCAGGGCCAGCACAAGGTCGCAACTCGCAAGCCCGTTCATCCACCTTGCAGGCCCTCTAAGCGCGATCAACCCCAGCGCCGACCTCGGTGGTCCCCAGTCCCCCGTCGATGCATTTGTTGACAGGCAAGGAAGCACCACGCAGCTGCCCTGCCTTTGCCCTGCCTTGTTCTGCTCTCCGCATCAACGTTCTCTTTTATCCGTACACTACGGAAGGTCGGGTTTGACAAGAGCTCGCTGCACACAGTCTCGAGGCCCATGCGACGCGACGCTCGTCAAATCTCCCAAGCTGCACCTCTTTCATCAACAATAGCTGCAGTGCACCCTGCATGCCTGCGTGCCTGCGTGCGTCCTGCCCGGTGGCAGAGACAGAGAGGTCAACCCAAGGCTGTTATGGCCTCACCTCAGGTCGCAGGTGGTATGTCGTCCTTTTACCCGGCTGCGAGATAACGCTCCTCGTCCTCGCGCCCTAATGGCACTGCCTGCAAGCTTATCTCACATCTGAGCTAAGGTATCTCATTCTTACGCCAGCATGAAATTATGCTTTTCGCAACTCACCTCGAGTGACACGCACCACCACGATCGTTAGCGCCGCCCGCAAGCCCGTACCCACCGCTACGCTCCGTGTTTAGTTCTCCACCGCCCACATGCAACGCCGCTAGAGAATCCCGGAATACGGCTTAAATGCATTTACCGCTTATCCTTCTTCGTACGGACAGTCCTCGGTAACAAGCTCGCCGAACCTCCATCCCAAGTCCCAACACGAGTGCTGGGCCGCCATCCAACTCCACCGACTTTTTCGACCAACCTGTCCTCCCACCAAGTGCGTTTCCCACCTCGATGGCTGCTTCGTCACAGCTTCCTCCCTCTTCTCATTCTCTTGAACCGCTCCTTCAACCCAGAATATCATCAAATAACCCCCGTTTCAGCGACGTTGAATCTGTTCTTCGCCGCCCCGCATCCCCATCTGCAGGCATCGTCCTCCGGCTGGCCCCACGACAGGGTTCCTCATGGGAACTTGCGCTAGTTCCCGTTTGGAATCCTTGGAGGGGTGTGAAGCCGTGGGGAGTGGGGTGGGTGGCACTCGGTCGCTAACGACGCTCTTTGACTATCGTTGCCCTTTCACACGTGTAGAGATCAACAGTCTTGAGTCACAAGCTGGCTTACCTGGAGGGAAACGCTTGTGGCGAACGCTAGAAGAGTTAGCCACCCTTTTGTGTCTGTTTTGTTGTGCTTTCCCCCCCTAGGTTCCAGGAGTTTTCCGCTCTGGGAAACGTCCAACGGCGCTGATCTCCGCCTATCACATCACGAGGTGGCAACCACACACCGCCATGATTGCCTATCAACGTGATACTTTGCGCTGTCCAACAAGGTGGCCACCTCGACGTTTGCCACTCCAAACTTGATGGGATTGTGATTTAGCGGCATTTGACATCGACATCCTTCGATATCAAATGTTTAATTCTCGAAATGAGACTCTCCAACGGCCAGAGACAAGGGTGTGCCATGGTCCCTGGCGGCGCGCCCCACCCACCCCGCGCACGCCATCCTATAGGGCGCTGACGTTCTCGTCAACCCCCACGCCCGTTCGACGTCGTGAACAGAGCCGCCTTTGACGACGTCTCTTGTCTTCGCTGTGAATGATGCGGTTGATGCTGTTTGATAGGTTCCGGTGTGGGGGAGTGATGTTCGTTGGTCTTGTGTCGTGTGACGTGCGATGGTGAGCTTGCGGCTTCCTGTCGTTCGACGGAATGCGACTTGGATCTCGATTTTGGTCTCGCTCGCTGGCAAATTGGCTTCAGGTTAAAAATTTACGTCTTTGGGTGGGATGTTAACTTCTTCTCGGTTAGAGAAGGCATCTGAATAGGTCGTACGGATCTTCTCCCTGTGCGTTTTCGTGTTTTGGTGTTACTTTATGTTGTCACACCGACGCCACCGGCAGGCTGCGCCCGAGGTACCTAGTAGTGGTACTATGCTGCCTGATGTCGTGTCGAGATCGATGTCGGCCAGGATTTCAACTTGAGAAACTCATGGTTTGAAGAAGAAAGAGGAGAAAACATGTACTTTGCCGTACGAGATGTGGTTCATGACTCAATGGCCCCTTAATCCTTGAGAGGCACGCGGCACTGGATAAGATTGCAATGTCTACACTATCATTCTCTATCACGATTCTACGGAATCATTCGTTCTTTTCATTTTTGGTTGGCTTCAAATCCATATCGTGACCGTATGTTGCCTCGCCACAGTGCTTTCGAAGTCTAGTGTCGTGATGGAAAGGACAGTCGTACTAATCTTCCTGTCCTGGTTATCCATATGATTGCTGACTGGTTGATGATCGGCGTCAGTTGTCTTGAATAAATTGTCGTTCTGTAGTCCGGCGGTATCCAAAGCAATCGACGCCCATCTAGCACCAGCCAGTCGGGCTCGAAACTGAAACCGTACCCGCAAAAGGGTGGCAGTAAATTTTCTCTTGAAACTTCTGCAGATGGTGCTATTTCAAGGCCCTGGGCCGCTGCTCCAGCATCTCCACAGATTTTTGCATTCAAGTTGTCTGGGCCCAGCCAGCCTGACCCTGGGTCTTCGATGGTTAGGGATCCAAATTGAGTGTTCAGGCGTCTGTTTATGCCTGCATCAAAAGATGCCAGAACACCCCCAAGCCCGTCCAACTGACGTATACAATGACCAGTTGTCACATCCCACAGATACACACTGTCCCGCGAAGTCGACACAAGCAGCTGGCCATCCATGGAAAAGCTCAGTGAACGGGCGGGCATACCAAACGTGCTGGGAGCGTATAATAAGAAATTTTTTCCAGTCGCTGTGCTCCAAAGTCTGAGGCTATGATGCACGTTTTTTCGAGGACGAGTTTTGTAGGCGAGCCATTGGCCATCTGTCGAAAATTCCATGAGCTGAACAAATCCATCAGCTTCGTAGTGTTCTTGCGCGATGGTACCATCAGATGTGTTCAAAATTCTGATCGTCTTATAGCCGCCACAGGCAAGCTGAAAGCTGTTTCGAAAGGCCAAGGACGTGATCTTTTCCAAACGGCCGCCAGTTTCGTCATCTATGTCGTCACTTATGTCATCTCCTTTGGCATTCGCTGAGTTTGCGCCAAATAGCTGTGTATGGGCACCGGTTTTCGTCTCCCACACAGTAACCTGACCGCTGGAAGAAATTGACGCAAGTTTCTGATGATCCTTGGACATGGCAATAATATCTACATTGTCCGCATGGAATTTCTGTACCTCCACATCATGTCCGGTCGATCTGCCCCAAAATGCGATCTCCTGACAGTCGGGGTAGTAGGCTGCGAAGTGATGTTCATCAGAGTAGCAAAAACTCTGCGCAAAACCACCACTAGCCATGTTTTTATTGCCTTTTGCGAGATCCCACATCTTGACGGTGCCATCAGAACACCCTGCCACAAGTCTTTCGTTGTTCGGTGAGAATGCGAACGAAGGCCCGCAACTCCTATCATGTGAGGTCTTCCAGGTAAGGTCGCCCGTTGCTGTGTTGTATATGTAGATGTATTGACCGGTCAAGACAGCCAAAAGCTTTCCATTATTCGAGAAGTTGATAGACAGGGCCCCTGTGTCGCCACTGTTTTCGAATTCTTGAACCAGCCGGCCAGTTTTTGTCTCCCAAATGCAAACGAGAGGACTCCATGACGCGATCAATTGTCCGTCGCCCGAGATTTCCACCCCCCCAACCGGCCTATCGTCAATTTCTCGTTTGCAGTCTCCTGTCAAAGTGTCCCAGATCTTGATATTATCGTTTTGAGAGAACGAAGCAAGCCATCGACCGTCTGTCGTGAAGCTTAGCGAGACTATATTGTCGATATCAGCCATGATTGTGCGCGTAGAGATTTCCTTGTCCATGCTCCATACATGAACCCCTTTGTTCTTCAGGGCGTATGCAAAAGTGCGACCATCTGGCGAGATGGCCATCGTCGTGACCACCAACTCCTCTTCGTGGCCTCTGAAACTCTCGACTTGATTGGTTTTCAGATCCCAGACCTTGATGACTCCGTTACTAGACGCGGCGGTATATGTTTGACTGTCCCCTGAAAAGGCCACTGACCGCACACCGGCTTTTCGGAGTTTTTCGGCCCGACTGTAAAGTTCTTTGCCGAAACCACCATATGTGTATTCACAATGTCCACTCTCTGCTTGCCAGAGCTTCACAGTGCCATCTGCAGAGCCAGAAAGAATCCATTGGCCATTTGGCGAGTATACCACAGTATTGACCCTGTATTCATGCCCGGTAAGAGACTGCAAACGCGTATTCCACGTCAAGTCTAAGCCTGGCATTATCGAGATCCATTGGGGTGCGTGATCCTCGAAGAAGTGCTTTCTGACGACACTCTCTTCAGGACTGAATAGTAAGGCTGACTCATAGATTTGTAAGGGAAACTCGGCAATCATTTCTTTGTGATATAGTAGAAAACGATTTGCGTCGTGGACTAAGTTTGCTATACTTCCGTCTTTCGAGGCTGGCTTTCCTCTCTGAATCATTGTTAGCTTATGATCCTAATGTAACTTCATGGAAGTTGCAATTTAACCTACGATCATATTTTGAAGCTTCTGTATGCCTTGTACTGCTTGCAACAGCTCACCGATGAGGGCAAGGGCCTCGAGCCAGTACAGAAAGTTGGTTCGAAGAAACTCGTTGACAAACTCATGGTCTTTGATGTCCCTCTCAGTACTTGATTCTCCCAGGTGTTTCATCCAAAAAGCGCAAGAATATGCAACAGAGGCCAAAGGATCCGGTTCAGGCATGATGATATCCTTTTGGGCAATGCCGACATCTTCTAGTTCATAGATGTTACGGCGTATGACCTTGGAGATGGCACCCAATGATCTCAAACACACTGCCCAATGCAAACCCTCGACTCCGCCCGGGAAAAGATTGGCAAAGGTGTCTTCCTCCTTGTCGAGTAGAAAATCTCGGGCTGACTGGTGTACGAAATAAACAGTTCCATCTCGAAGACTCAAGAAAGAACCACAACATCGCACGGCATCTTCTAAAGTCTCAACTTTACCGTCAAAATGCTGCGACAGGCCCATGATGGAGCAAAGTTCAAGAGATGTGATAGAGCGTTCTAGGATCGATGTGACGGCCAAAACATCTTTGCATAGATCTGCATCCATCGCACCAGAAATGTACTGGAACATGCGCTTGTATAGCTTGTCGAGTCCTTTAGGGAATGTTTGCAGAACCCCTTTCGGCCCGATGACGTGGTTTCGTCTTATAATGTTGTCTTGACGAAGCGCATTGCAGACCAATGCCACCCATAGAAATGTGTCGCTCGAGTTGTCGTTGAGGTACTTCTCGACGTGGTTGCGGAGTTTTAAGTCGTCATGATAAGGTTGTTTCTCAGCGAGCTTGTCAACCTTTCTTCGAATGTATATGCGAACAGCATGGGAAACAAGATCGCCGTTCAGCTCCAGGGACAGCGCCGACGTCCGTTCCGTGATCCTCTCGAGGTTTGTCTCGATTTCCCGCCAATTGCGGCTGGACACTATCCACTTGGCACGAGAATCGTTTGATCTCTCGCAAATGAAATCCAAAAGCTTCTGGCGACCTTCCACGCATTCGTCGAGAGCGTCTACAATCAACAGCACACCATTCATCAGTGGATCACCTAGTATGGCGTTCATAATACCGCACATCACTCCCCACGCGCTGTCTCCTTCGAATGCCGCCTTTCCGCCGCCATCTTTGTATTTGTCGTAGATGTGCCGATAGACCTGCGAATATCTCTTTGCAAGTCCATAGATAAGCCCTCGTAGCACAGCAGTGGCATTGTTGAGTGTCGTCTCGGTGGCTTGACAGAAGAAATATGATAGGGTGTGAGTAGGGTCCGTCTCTAGTTCGTCAATGATGCCGCATATGAGCATGGTTTTCCCCTTACCCGGATCGCCCTTGATCCAGAGTATCTTGTGATGAGTTTCCTTGTGCCATTTCCCGTACCTATCGTGGTCCAGAACCCAGGAGTAAGCATCTCGAAGAAGCCCCCCTTTCTCGTTCTGTATACGGTCCTTTTCGTGATGGGGGTCAACCTTCTGACGAAAGTCAATCAAGCAGTTTTCCCTATCCCGGTGCTTGTCTCTGTCTTGTTGCGCTTGATACTGCTTCTGAATCAAAGATGACAGATCTTGAATTTGGTCGGTTTGATCCTGCATGGCACGAGCCAGGGTTTTGAGCGCGCCACAAATCGACGAGCTCTGATATTGACCCAGCCTGGTCCGCACCTGATCCTCGGCTTCCTTAACACCAGTGAGTTCTCCCGTCCAGTCATCGATCTTGAAGACATCTCCAAGTAAGACTAGGATCTGAGACCTGTAGTAACGACAGACGCTCTTCATTTGGTACAGGAGAAGCCTTTTGTACAGCTCGACAATTTGTTTCTCGAGTTCATCTCTAAGCGTCTTCGACCGGTCCTCGCCGTCCATAAGAAGCTCAACAAGTTTGCAATACCAATCCATCGTCGACAAAACGTACGTAATGCCTTCGCGGTTGATACTGGACTCCGTCAGAGGGTTTGCAAGGATCTGGTGAAGTTAGAGATTGTAAGCCAAGTTTCAAATAACCAGATCGACCGACCTGGAGAGAGAAAGAGACGCAAGACCATGGGATAGCAGCCTGGGGAGCCGCCAGAACGACGACGTCCATCACTTTCTTTACTGGCGATAAGATTCGACCGAATTCTTCAATATTTCCCTTAATGTCTGCAATTTGCTGCGACTCTGAGAGCCCGGCGTCAACAAATCTCTTCATTTGATCTCGTTTTTTCAGTATTGCCGGGGTAATTTCGGTTTTGTCCAAGACCTTTTCAAGCCTGTGTACAAGGAGTTTCTCGTATGCTTCCACTATGCTTTTTTCCCCGGCCTCAAGGGCATCATACGCCTCAATCCACAGGCGCTCCTGCAGGCTGTCTGCCGACAGAGAATCGGATGCCGATAGAGGATTGGATGCCGACAGAGGATTGGACGCCTGAGCCGAATGAGTTGAGGAAACATCCCTTTTTTTGCCCTCGTGCCAGAACTTGAAACAAGCGAGACACATGACGACTGGCGATTTCTCTTAGCCAAGATATGGCGTGAACCAAAATTGAACACGGTGAAACTCGTTGATGGCTGTTACGGTCTGGAAGGGAAAGTCGAAGCATCAAGCTGCCTGCGGGGAAATGTAAAGTCCCCCAAAAATTCCAATCTTGGCCACTGTTCGACACATGATTTTATTGCAATACGACCAATCGCCAAATAGCCTTGTTGCAGCACGAAATAGGGCTCATCCCCGTCATCCTTGCCGTCCACGGAGGCTATTGCATATGCATCTACGCGCCGAGTGCAACATAATCCAATTGGATAATCGCGACGTCTCCAACTTTTCAGCTGCCCATGCGTGGTATCTCGTGTTCATGTCTAATTCGCCAAATACATAGCCCAGACGGCCCCGAGTGCGATGAGCTGCTCACCGAGATCAAGTTCCCCACTACTTCATACTATGATTCCATATGGATCCAGAGTCAGAGTGGTCGAGTAGGTAATATGGCTGACTTTGTGATTAACTGCGTTAAGATCTACTTTGTTTCCTGAGTTATTGTACAATCTCAAGTTGTCTAAAGCTTAGTAATCTCTTGCATCATAGAACTCCCCTGGCGGATCTTATAGCCATCAAAGTAGAAGGCTGCCGGAACAGAGACGCATACCATTTCAACAAGACCCAGCAATGTCCCAGCCCAACTCAATCCCAGCGTCCCGTACATTGATGGCCCAGCAAGCGGCAGACACGCGCCCATTATACTTCTGAGCACCATGTTCCCTGCTAACGCTGATGCTCCGTAGATGCCATAGGACTGAGCCATGTAATTGTCTGCGTAGATGAAAGTGCAAGCGTTTCCGGCACCGTATGAAACACCAGCAAGAATGGGAACGATCCAGTGTGTTCCAGGTCGGCATGTCCAGGCGAACCATAATTGGCCAACTGCTAGCAGGACGGCACTTATGCATACGATGCTGACTCTGGCTTCGGGCTTGACATTGCCCGTGGCCGGGTTTTTCGGATGAAGGTTGACGATGCGGCGAAGAAGAGGCTCTGCCGCAATGGGAATGAGAGTGCCACATCCAATCCCCAGAAACGCCAGTCCGCCGATCCCTAGCGCCTAGCCTCGTTCCTGCTGAAATGCAATCGGATAAGCGACGAAGCAGAGATAGAGAGTCGCGTAAACAATGCCGATGTATGTGTTCCAAAACATGCTATTGACAGTAAGCCAATCAAGACGTAAATGAAATTTCTCAATCGCTGAGAAGTCGGTATAGGTCGACTTACCAGATCGGCTCGGTGCACATCATCTTGAGTGGGCGGTATGAATTGATCTTCAGCAATGGCCAGAGCCCTTGCCCATGATCGTAGCGTGTCCACCACCTATCGTCTCCGGTTGCCTAAGACTTTTCGGCGGCTCGTCTCTTCAGCAACACGGAAGCGTAAGTCTCTTCAAAGAGTCTAAAAAGACAAAGGCCACACTTCCAATGATCAAGACGATCCAAATGCGTCCATCTCCAACCCTTATGTTGATAGACGAAACCACCGATCAATGGCCCGTAGACGGGACCGTTCGCCGGGCCTATGGACCAAAACCCTGAAGCAAGTGCGCGGTGCTTGTCTGAAACGATGTCGTTGACGGTGGCGGGCGAGTTCGACATCATGGTGCTGTCAAAGAACCCTCCGAAAAACCGAGTGGCGATAATGGTCGCGATGCTCTCAGCCAGGGCGCTCGGCAAGACGAGTGCCTGAAACGCTGCCATGGATGCGATGTAGAGCGGTCGCCGGCCGAGTGATTCGCTCATGGGCGCGACGACCAGGCTTCCGGCAGCCATTCCGAGCAGGTATGTGGTGAGACCTAGGAGTGCGACAAGCTTGGAGACGTGAAATTCTGCTTGCAGCCCGGGGATCCCAGAGGTATAAAGAGTGCTGAACAGGCTGACTACGGTGGCATCGAGGCTAACCGTAGTGACGGTAAAGGCCTTGTACCATGTAGGCCATGAGCGAGGGCCCTGCATTTCTCCACTGTCCCATTTCACTTCAAATTCAATTCGGGAGCTCGATCGAGGTTGGGTACACACCGGTTGAACGGCGGTGTCTTGTTGGTGTTGGTGGCATAGGGAGTAGCCCCCAAAGCAGGATCCGTGGCTGTCTCGTGTAGGTTGAGTTCATAAACCGGACTTTGTTGACCCGATTCGTGTATGCGATCTATGGTATCCATGCTCCATAGCACTTAACAACCAACACGGTTTCCCAAGATTGTGCGAATGACCTAGACGGGAAGGTTAGAATTGAAATTCGTGCCGATGAACGGTGCTCCTGAGTGAAAGTTTTGGCGATGAGTAAAGACGGACTGCATTATGTTCCATGCGGTGGTCAGTAGGATCAAGGAACTTCTATGTACAAGCCAGAATTGAGTCCGGAACATGAGCATGTCGGCGAGTGGAAGATACGGTGACAGACTCAAATTGATCACTACAGTCCGTCTTTTTCTTTTCTAAATTACTGGCGTTTTTGCCTCATGATGTATACCGGCGTTTCGAACTCACAGCATCGTCAACATCTGTCGAGACCGAGAGATGACCAAATTCTTGTTGCAGGTTCTGTTCGACCATTTCCATTGATAGAAAGTTTATAAGCTATCCAGAATATGCTACTACATGAAGGGACTCGTTGTTGCTAGTCAGATAACTTCAACTGCAACTCCTGGCTTCAACCACCTGACCTTGTCATCAACACCCTCATCTTTGAAATCCTTCGCTAGTCCCTCCTCAAACTGCGTGAAATGACCCCACGACTTGTCGTAATGCATGGGCACTAAATGGTCTGCCTTGATCTCTCGGAAAAGACGAGCCGCCTGCTTGCCGTCCATGGTGATTTGCAGCGGCGCGTCCCTGTCCGGAAACTGCACGTGGGCGGAACCGAGATTCATCATGGCAATGGGAACGTGAAACTTGTCGGCAATCGTAGTCAACTCGTCCATGTACACCGTGTCGCCCGTGAAATAGATGGCGTTCGGCAGCTTGTTCGGTCCAAGCCCAAAGTCGTCCGACGACAGCAAGAATCCAATGCATTCACCGCCAGGTAGGTGCTGGCACGGGGTGGCCGTGATGCGGAAGACCTTTCCGCCGATACGTCTCTCCACGGTTGTCCATGGCTCCATGCCGACGACCGCCGGGCGAGGAGCGAGGTTCTTGGCTCCGTCCACGGTTGTGAAGACGTGCCGGCCGTCGAGGAGCCGGCGGCCCAGCTCGTCGAGATTGTCGGGGTGGTCTTCATGGCTCAACAACACTGCGTCGATGGGAGGAAGCTGATCGAGCTTGAGGGCAGGATCTTCCGTGTTCTGGAGGATAGTGATACCCACGTCCCAGGTGGTGCCTGCTGGAGAAAAGAAAGGGTCGGTCAAGAAGCGCACGCCATCGATATCAAGGATGGCCGTCGCAGTTCCAATGTGAGTGATGCTCACTCTGGGCTTGAAGTTGGTTCTGGAAGACATTGTCGAAGGTTTGATGGAAATCTCGGTCGTTGTAACGTCTCGAGAGGGGCTGTTGGTAGATGATGCGACTGAAGGTAGAAGCTATTGCGTAGTGTCGGTGTCGTTCATCTTCGTTGGAATAAGTGTTTCAAAGTCTTCCTTATATGTGGAAGGCTATATGCTGTATAAGTTCCGATGCCTTTCGGGGATTGGGAAGAAGGCTTTCTCACGTCTGACCAACCCAAGACTTACAACTGGCAAACACGATTCAGCAGTGGACGTTTTGACAAATCCATGTAAGACGCCGATTACCAACCTAAATGCATACAATGATTGGTAAGGTAGTCCCTTCAGAGGTACATGTAGATAGCACTTTTGACATGGGTTGGCCTGTGGGCTTGACAATAACAACAACGCTATAGTCAATTGCCATTCATTAAAATGAGGTCATCTTGAGATACGTAGGGAGAAACTTCAAAAAGGCGGAATACTTGAATTTGATGCCGAACTATTTGGAATGTCTGTTTGTTGTAGCATCAACTGGGAATCTTGGTCACATTCCATCACTAATCAGCAGGAAGGATTTGTCAGTTTTAGAAGCCTGGAGATGATCAAGCTTAGAAACAATAATCAATGATTGCGGATGGGCCGACATTGAGTCACGAGCTTGACTGTCATCGTAGTTGCAGGACGAGTAGCGGTAAACGAGGCGTTCCTCCATAACACCTCTACGCTTGACCAGAATAGGATTCATAATTCGCCAAGACATGTCTAATCCGGCGTCATTGCAGACTTTGGTGGCTTCCGATTGGTCATTCCTCATCTGTTCGAGGCCCCTCGATCGTTCTCCATCATCTGGGGATCTCTTGTCTTGGCGGATTATGATACCTTATTTGGCCTAGCGGCATCCACTAGAGACCCCTTGTACACTAAGACACCGAAAGCCCGGAACCTTTCTGTACGAATATATGACCCAGAAGCCAGCGATAATACAAGTCGCCAGACGATTAGCAACATCATCCGCTCAAATCATCACTCGCACAGCACCTTCTTCAGATTTCTTTCCGGAGTTCCGCGGCAAACAAGATAATCACCATGGCGTCTGCAGCAGTATCGATGCGTTCCATGCTCGGCGTGCCAGCGTCTACAACCTCCACGAGCGACAGCATCCTGGTCATCATCGACGCTCAGAACGAGTACGCAACCGGCAAGCTAGCAGTCTCAAACGTCGAAGCATCCCGAACCAAGATCGCTTCTCTGCTTGAGAAATACCGCGCCGCAAGGGCTCCCGTCATCCACGTCGTCCACGAAGTGCCGGCCAGTGCCCCCCTCTTTACCCCCGGCACCGAGCTCGCCGAGGAATTCTCAGAGCTGAAGCCACTCGAGGGGGAAAGCGTGGTCGCCAAGAATTTTCCGGGCTCCTTCACGGGTACGAACCTGGAAGAGTTGCTAAAGGCTACCGGAAGGAACAAGGTGGTTTTGACCGGATACATGGTACGATGATTTGTTATTGGACGAGAAAGGCGCTTGGTGGAAGAGAGTGTTACTAGAGACTAACTTTTTTTTCCTTCGGCAGGCGCACGTTTGTGTCTCGACTACTGCTCGACAGGCGAGTGAAAAGGGGTGGGACGTGATCGTTGTGGAAGACGCCGTCGGTGACCGCGATATCCCCGGAGCAAATGCTGAGAATTTGACAAAGATCGCGTTGGCTGAAATTGCGGATGCATTCGGTACTGTGGTGAAGAGCAAAGATATTGCATAGCGCTTTGTCATTAGGCCAGATATTTCTGGTAGGGCGAGCAGCGCGTTGTTCATTCCTATCATTGGATATCACTTGGACCGTTACTCTGGTCGTTGCCGTCGTCGTCCGTGCTGTGCTGCCATTGTCGTCCTTGCTATGCAACCACAATTACGTCTGCCATAACATAAGCTGATGAGGTCTACTGTAGACCAAATGTCAACCAAGAAGCACTGTCCGCCTATGCAATAAGACATCCTCATATCCTTGTTGGCGTATAATCTCAGCATTGCTTGCCAACTGTTCACAAATGGCCTCATCATCGCCTCCAAACATTTCCAGCGCACCCCTCGCAATATGCAAAGGAAAGAACGCAGATGCTGTGCCATAGAGTTTCATGTCCTCCTGCATCAAATAGCCTGTACTCTCAAGGATATAAGTTGCGAGCTGGAGAACCTTTTGGGTCGCCGCTTCGCTTGCGGGGTATTCTCCGACTTTCAGAAGACAATCTTGTGAGATGTTTGGATGGTGTGCTGTTAATCGTTGGATCTGGGTGACGCAAATGATCCAGAACGCCCAGTAGTGACTCAATGAGTTAGCCACGGTGATATTTGGGAAATCGAGGCTGGTGGTATCGGCTGGCGAGACCTTTTGTAAATATGTAAAGCCTCTCATAGTCATCATGTTTGCTGATCTGTGCCAAAAGTCCAGGCGGTTGATAACGTCCACAAACTGGATCACGGCTTCGCGGGCGGCAGGTTCACTATCGTCGTTACAGTGATCAAGCATTTCGAAAATAGCGGGTATGGCGCAGGCCTCACTCAAGAGAGATTGGAGCGGGTCTTCGACTACACGCCTAAACGGCTCTTCTTTCCACTCAGGCGCCCCGAGAAAGGTCGATTTCCGAGTTTCAAACGCATGGAGAATCTGGGATATATCAGCACAGGTAAGGTGACGAATGCAGGCTGTCATACTAGAATTGGTCTGAAGCCAACGAAGAGTTTGTGGGGTGTTCCAGATGCGTAGAATTGCGGCGGGCGGAGTTGAATTAGCTCACCGATGCCCCTTGCGTGGACTGTCGCTGCAGAGCTTGATGTGGGAAAGAATTTCTGGGACAGTCTTGTGTGAGTAAACGTACCCACAAGAGACCGAATAGAGAAGAAGAATCTCCTACCTCTGACAGGAACAAGCACATAATGGCTGCAGATATCTCGGTATAGTTGTTCGGATCATCATTGGCGCGTGGAATGAGGCACCCTACAGCCTTGAGCGCCGAGGAGTGCGCTTCAATGGCTTCGTGGACAGGAGCCCGCCCCTTGGGGCCTCTGGCCATCAGTGAGATTCCCAGAGCTTTGATGGCGGAGGATAAAGGTCCGTCATGCCTCCCATCTGCCCCGACGATTCCCGGCAGAACTTCCACCCATGCTCCGCATATTCGAGACTGCGAAGGCTTTGAAGTGCTGGACATCGAACCTAACTCGTCGGCAGGGACAAAGTTTTGTATGCACATTGAGAGTACGTCGCTGAGTGGCCAAGTCAAGGCCCGAGTCGGAGGTTTCGGCCTCTGACTTGCGGGATTGGGTGTCCTGCTTTGACGTGTCCGCTTCTTCCGCTGACCGGAAGCGACCGAGCCTGGTGATGAGGGTTGACGAAATACAATGTGTTTCTTGTACCCTGGGCAACTGAGGCCAGAGAAGACACACTGAGAGCAGCATGGCTGCTTTCCGTCGCACTGCCAAGCAGAGCGTCAGTCAGGTCGTCATCATACTTTTGCGGGGCTCTTACGCCAAGTTTTCGTCTTCTGC